CGCCCTGGTCCCCGCGCCCCGAGCCCTTCAGCCCCACGGGCGAGGATGAGGTGTTCTCCCCGTCGCTGAGCGAGACCAGCAGCCTCCGCTCCGAGAGCCTGGCGGGCGCCAGCTCCCCCGAGGCCCCTCGGGGCCGCCCCGGCGTGATGGTGGTGCTGAGGGAGCCCCAAGCTCAGGCCAAGTGGAGCTGCCCCGATGGGTCTGAGCGCACCATGTCCCCTTCCAGCGGCTACTCCAGCCAGAGCGGGACGCCCACGCTGCCCGCCAAGGGGTTGGGACCTCCGGCTGTGTCCCCGGGCAAGTCTCAGCCCCAGAAGCCGGACCGGGTCTGCTCCCTGCAGTCGCCGGCGCTCTCCGTGTCCTCCTCCCTGACCTCCATCTCCTCCTCGGCCTCGGACCCGACGCCCCCCGAGGCGTTGAGCGGTCGCTCAGACCGGTTCATCATCCCGCCGCACCCCAAGGTTCCCGCTCCCTTCTCCCCGCCACCCACCAAGCCCCAGCAGCCCCCGGCCTCTGCTGGCCCCCTCCAGCCCTCGCCAACCCCCCCAGCGCCCAGCACTGCCGGCCAGGAGCCCTCGGCCAAGCCCAATGGCAAGTCCCCGCCGCCGTCACCGCCGCCTGCCTACCACCCGCCTCCGCCGCCGGCCAAGAAGGTGGAGGGGAGCCCCCAAACCAGCAGCGAGACCCCCGCCGACACCACCTGGCCCCCGCCACCGCCGCCAGCCCCCGAGGAGCACGAGCTGTCCATGGCAGACTTCCCCCCTCCGGATGAATCCTATCTCTCCAGCCTGCCCGATGCCACCTCGGCCACCGTGGACGGGCAGACGGCAACAACGAGCCCGGGGGCTGCTTCTTCATCATCTCAGCAGCAAGAGCCGCCCGCCGGGGTTCCACAGCCTCCGCGCCACGCCGAGCCCCTTCCCATGGCCTCCGTGCCCCCGCCGCCGCCGCCTCTCCCTCCGCCCTCGGCCCCGGCCCTGCCGCCCCAAATCAGCCTTAAGAAGGCGGCCAACGGCCCCCGAGTGGAGGCCAAGAAGGAGCCGGTGTCGAGGAGCAAGAGCGGCCCCGTGGCCAAGGAGGACGCCAGCCTGCCCATCGTCACCCCGTCGCTGCTGCAGATGGTGCGGCTGCGCTCGGTCAGCGTCGAGCCGGCGGCCGGAGCCGGGCCCGAGGAGCGTCTGGCCCCCCAAAAACCCGTCCGGCGCTCCCTGTCCACGCGGCAGCCGCCTCCTGCCCAAGATGCGGTGCCTTCCAAGCAGCTCCACCACGCCGTGCACCTCAAGGCCGCCGCCTTGGCTGCTGGAGAGGCCGCCGAGAAGCCGCCGGGCGGCCGAGCGGCGCAGCCCGGCGCCGAGGGGCTCCCCGGGGATGGGCAGCTGTCCCCCAGGAACAAATCGCCCGCCTCCACCGCCAGCTTCATCTTCGCCAAGAGCTCCAGGAGGCTGGTGATCGAGACGGCCTCGTCGCCCGAGGCACAGGCCGACCTGAAGAGGAACTTGGTGGCCGAGCTGATGAACGTCTCGGGCCAGCGCTCGGCAGCCCCGGCCGCCGCCGCCGCCGCCACGCAGGGCCCCGGGAAGGCGCAAGCCCAGAGGAAACCCGGCAAGATCCCCCCTCCAGTAGCCAAGAAGCCTTCGCTTGGCTCGGGGCCGGCTCCTTCCCCGAAGGCACCGGGGGCTGAGGCGTTGGGCTCCCCGGTGCTGGATGGGGATGCCAAGGTGGAGGAGAGCAGGACTAAGAGCGAGCTGGTGGGGACGGAGGGCAGGAACGGCGCGGAGCCGCCGGCTCAGAGCCTCCCTGCACAAGGTAGGTGGGGTGGGAGGCACGGGCTGATGCTGCTGGAGGTTCAGCCTCGCTGCTCAGGATCCTGAGCTGTACGTCGCCAAGTGATAAATTCCCAAGCTGGACACCCAGCAGGGCTGCTGGGCTGTGTTCCAGCTGGGAGGCAGCGGGACAGCAGGGACAGAGCCTGGCAGGGCTGTGGGAAGCTGGGATTTGGGGTGGCTGATGGGCTCTTCCCTCCTGCTTTGCAGACAGACGGGGAGAGACGGCCTGAAGGATGACACTGCAGGACTGGAGCCTCCACGGACGGGAATCCAAATCTCTCAGGGACCTGGGCAGGTCAACGGACGAGTGTGGAACTGGCAACTAACTTAACACAGGAAGCAAACAGCCTTAGCCTCCACGGCCTTGATGATATTTATGCAAAAATGGTGTTGGTTTCACTTTCCTAAGTACTACAGCTTTATTTTGCTTTTTTTTTTTTTTTTTACTGGACTCAAGGCCCGTGCCCAGAGCCAGCACCTCCTCCCTGCCAAGCTGATGCTTGGTGTGGGTGTGGGAGCTGAGCAGCTGCACCCAGAGGAGTTTGGGGGCCAAAGACACCGGAGCTGGAGCCACCACTGCCGGCCAGAAAGGACCACGAGGAATGGAAGCACTTTGGACAAGGGAATGGGAAGGCTTTGGCCACGACAGTGCCTGGGGGATGCAAACAGGAACGGGAGGGGATGGAGGTGCTGGCTGGGAAGGGATCAGGGCTTTGGTTCTTGATGGAAAGGCAAGAGGGGCTCGTGGCCAGCACTGGCTCCGGCCACTCGCCACTGCCCAGCAAGAGGAAGGGCCTGGCTGCCCCTCGAGCTGGCCCTGGGCTCTGGGGTAGAGCCTTGATTCTCTTTCTGTAAACTCGGGTCACATTTTGATTTCTTTGATTGTAAAAAAAAACCAAAACCTTAAACAAAAACCAAACAAAGCAACAAACCCAACCAAACCAAACCAAACCAAACCAAAAGCAACTGACCCTCTGCCGCTGAGTAGCTGCTCAGAGCTCTGTACCTGGCTGGTAAAAATGATGACCGAAGCTTGCTGCCTCCTGTCCTTCCTGGTTTATGGCTGCAGCTCCCTTCTGGTGGTGCTGAGCTCCAGGCACACCCTTGGGCTGGCTCCCAGCAACACTGCCCAATAAAACTCCAGAGCAGGGCTGGCTGCCAGCTCTCTTGGACGGATGGGCACAGCCACGTGCAGTCAGCTCCATGTTTTATTGGGTTTTATGACAGACAGATGGTTCCCGAGTCAGTGTTCAAGGCCCACACCTCCCACAGGCTCAGGACAGCCCCAGGGGCGCTGCCTGGGCTCCTGGCCAAAGAGCAGCAGCAGTGGCCACAGAGCTGGGTGGGCTGGGGGTGCAGCAGGGCCCTGCCGGGCTGTCCCCAGCTCTGGTAGCAGCAACACGAGGTTGGAGAAGCAGCTTTTCCCTTCTGCCCTCACCACAGCATCCACAGATGCCACCCCAGCGGGCAGGGAGCCCAGGCAGTGGCACAGCTGGCCCCAAGGCCATGGGGATGAGTCACAAGAGTCCCTGGGGTGTGGTGGCACCTCCAGCCCTCAGGGGGATGCTGGAGGTGGCTCCCAGGGTGAGAGGCTGAAAGTTCAGTCCCAGAGCCCCCAGGGCTGAGCCCCCCGAATCGGGGCACTGGTGGGGAGATGGCTGGGAGGAGCCTGGCTGAGGTGCAGGAGTCAGGCAGGAGGCACCAGAGCAGCCCTGGCACTTGTTAGCTGATGCTGCCACCCTTCAGGCTTTTACAGGAGACAGTCCCCAGCTTGGTCAGGAAGTTTCTCTCCTTCCACTGAGCGACACAATCCTCGGAGATGTGGAAATCAGCCTGGGGAGCAGAACAGGGAGCGGGCTCAGCCCTGGGAAGGTTCATCTCCTCCACAGCTCTGCTGCCAATAACACCGAGGGGGCAAACACCCCATCTGGGGTCATCCAGAGGTGGGGACAGTGTGACCCTGCTGGACGGAAGCCCAGCCACTCCCAGGCCTCACCTGCAGCTTCTCAAAGACCTTTTTCTTGGGCTTGAGCTCCTCGTCGGGCTCCCCATTCTCGTAGCCCTCCACGTAGACGCGCTCCCCGGCGCAGCACCCGGCTGGGGGGTCCAGGGGCTCCACTTGACGGGGCTCCCCCACGCTAAGGAGAAGTGTGGAGACACCAGAGTCACCCCAAGGTGCTGCCCCTCAGCACCCTGAGGCAGGAGGGGTGGTCCAGCCCTGGTGGAGACACCAGAGTCACCCCAAGGTGCTGCCCCTCAGCACCCTGAGGCAGGAGGGGTGGATCCAGCCCTGCTGTCCTCTCTGTCCCTCACCTGGAGGCACACAGCACCATGCCCTGGGACTCCACCCCTCTCATCTTCTGGGGTTTGAGGTTGCAGAGCAGCACCACGAGCCTGTCCTGCAGCTGCTCCTCGGGGACAAAGTGCACCAGGCCGCTGACCACGGTGCGGGGCTCGGCCTCACCCACGTCAATCTTCTCCACGTACAGGCTGTCGGCATCTGGGTGCTGCCAGGGCGAGCAGGGATGGGAATGGGGTGGCAAAGAAGGTGGCAGTCCTCCCCCCGCCACCCCAGGCACACCCCAAATGTCACCACATGTTCCTCCCCTCGTGCCCCATACCTTTTCCACACTGATCACTTTGCCCACCCGGATGTCCAGGCGGGATGGGACCACGTCCTCTGGCTCTGAGTTCTTGGTGCCCTTCTCTCCAGGCTCTGCAGGGCGAAGGGAATGGTCACAACACTCAGCACAAACCCAGGTGGGTGGTCAGCCCCAAATGCAATCCCTGGGGGGAATTCCTTGCAGAGAATTCCACGCTTGTCCCTATACCAGAGAGCAGAGTCCCTCCTGTGCTGGCTTTCCTCACCTTTCCCATTGCTCTCCATGGCTGTTTTTGAGTCTGGAGCTTCAAAACTTTCTCTGACCTCAGCTGCCTGGAGGGAGCTGTCCCACTGAGGTCTGCCTGGCCAGGGCCCCATTCCCCTGAGCTGCCAGGGCCCCATTCCCCGGGCTCCCAGCCCCTCCTTACTGGCTTTGCCTGGCGTGGGATACGCGGCGCTGCTCAGCTTCTTCAGCTCTGGGCAGTTGAATTTCTCCCTGATGGGGTCAAGCAGTTTGTTCAGGGCCACTTCCACCGAGTTCTTCAGGTCTCCAGGGTGCACAACCTGTGTCAGGACAAAGGTGTTCCTGTCTGAGGCCACGAGTGGGAAATGGAGACTAAAAAGGGTGGGAAGATGAATCCCAAACCCTTGACCTGATGATTCCCTTGGTCAACAGAAGTTTCTGGGCACTTCTGCCTCCAGCCTCTGCTGGGAACAGCTGGGAAGGGTTAAACTGCTGCTCTGCTGCAGGATGTGGCTGATGTGGTGCTCACATCCTTCACTCATCCTCTCTCCCCGGGTTCTCCTGCCTGGGAGCATCCCACACTACCAGGCCACACTCCACACCTCCTCCCAGTGCAGATTTCCATCTCCCAGTGCTCCCAGATCACTCCCAGGAACCTCAGGCAGAAGGATCAGCCCCTCCCAGCACTCACCTGCTCAGCAAAGTCCTTCTCCAGGGCTTCATAGGCTGTGTAGGTTTTGTTTCCTCCCCATTTTTCCTCTCGCAGGACCACAAACTCTGGGACAAAACAGGTTTTAAAGCTCAGATTAACCCAAAGCTCAGATAAACCACACACCCCACCCTGCTCAAGAGCAGGGGCTGGGCAGGTGGCACTCAGGGGCAGCCTTGTTTCAGGGGACACACTTCTGTCCCCTCCTGTATCCATGCCCCAGCGTGGCCAGCCCCTCACCTGACTTGAGGGGGAAGAGGACGTGCTTGATGAAGGAGAGAACACCGTTGTTCTCCACGTTCCCTGGCTCACAGAAAGCCTTCTTCAGCTTCTTCTTCACGTCCTCCTTGCGGTCCAGAAGATCAATCTTGGAGTCCTGCAGCAAGAGATTTCCTCAGCCTTTCACCCAAGCTTTTGCCCAGGAAACTCAAGTTGGAGTTGCTGCATGTTCTTAGAACCCCGTGTGAGTGGGGAGGGAGAGTTCACCTTCCCTGGGGTGGTTCCCTCTCAGTGCCCAGCCACCAAGCTGTGCCCCCAGAGCCCCCTGAGCACAGCCAGATCCAGGACCAACCTCTTCTGACGAGCTCATTTTGCTGCCTGTCAGCCCAGGGACCATGGGGTTCATCAAATGGATGCGCTTGGCATAGCCCAGGGAAGGGAGGTACTGGGAAAACACAAGGAGGCAAGTGAGAAACAAGCCTCATTCAGCTTTAACTCACAATCCCTGCTTGCTCCTGGCTCCAGGTAACTTTGGGATCCCAAATTGGGATCCCAAATCCAGATCTTTGGGATCTGGGCTAACAGCACCCAGGAAGGGCAGAGTCAGAGCCAGGGATGCGTGGCTGCACAGAGCACGGGAGCAGCAGCAGCACACAGAGCTGCGACATCAACCAAAATCCCACACATTTCTCCCAGTGGATTTGGGAGCGGCCAAACCCTCCCTCAGACCCCAGTCTGGCAGCAATCCCCCCATTCCTGACCTTTTCTGCGAAGGTGAAGATCTTCCTCTGATCCACCCCTCCAAACTGCGCGTCCACCTTGAGGTATTCCTCATCCAATGCCTGTGGAGAGACACAGAACCTCGAGGTGGACCCGGAGCAGCCCTGGCCTGTCCCTCAGCTCCTCCTGGGGCACTGCCAGCCAGGGAAGCTCGGGAACATTCCAGACTATTTGCTGGAACAGCAGCTCCAGGCTTTGTGTGATATTGGGGTGGACAACAAGAACCTTGAGGCTCGGCCCCAAACACGGCCTGGCCCTGCCAGCGCCTCCCTGGGCACCACGCCCGCCTCACCTGCAGGCCTGGGTACAGCAAACCACTGAGCAAGGGATGCTCCACCTGCTTCACCACCTCCGCGCCCGCCTTCTTGGCATCGTGCTGCGTCACCACCGAGGAGAGGCGGTACACGTCCAGCGTGTACTCCCTGCGGGGACAGCTCTGTCACCAGGGCCAGGGGACAGTCTGTCACCACGGGGACAGCTCTGTCACCAGGGCCAG